CTAGAAATGGCCATGGCCAAATGCAAAAAAAAAAAAAAATAGTGGCTGAGGGCCAGGGGGGGATGGAGGAGGGGAGGAGAACAGCGAGCTACTTTGGCAGTAGTAAGGCTGTGACTCCAGACCAACTCTTGGGGATTTACTGAGCACCTCCCCCATGTTGGGGTTTCATGTGCATTAGTCCATTAACTCCTCACGGTGGTTCCGAGGAGGTGTTTTTTTTTTTTTTAATCACTTGCTGTTTTATCATTTTATATATAAGGAAACTGAAGTTCAGAGAAGGGAGACACCTGCCAAAAGTCACACAGTAAGGGGTAGGGCTGGCATTTGAACTCAGGTCTCTCTAACTTTAAAGGTAGGCATTTCGTCTATGTGTGCCCCTATCTCCCAGGCAGCAATAGTGCTGGGTCTCTGGCCTGTGGTTCCCTTCGCCTTCCTCCCAGCATAGATTCACTCTAGGGGATTCTCTGGCCATTTTGAGAAGGGCAGTGCCCACATTAGTGATCGTGGATCATTCCTTTGTAAGATTCCATCTATTCAAGACCCATAGTTGACTTCCTGGTCTTCATTGGCACCTTATGGAAATGTCTCCTTGTTATAAAATGCTGCCCAACAATCCAGATACCCAACTTGGAAGAGAATCTTCATCACTACCCAAAGGCCTCCCAGCCCCCAGGGAGTCCACTAAGTTATCAGTCTCTATCTACAGACAGGTACTCCCATTTCTAGGGTGGTGGGGTAAAGCATCGAAGACAGGAAGTGAGGGATACCCCGAGATTCTAGCTTTGGGGCTCGAAGTAGTGGGTGCTCCCAGGGAGGTTGAAAGAGAATGTCTTTATTTATGGGACTAGGCAGCAGAGGTCCCTAACTCAAGCCTCCTAGCAGGGTGCCTCTGTCCTGGCCAGGAAGGAGACTGAAGCAAGGAGTGTGGAAGTTGGCACCATCTTGATTGCAACCCTGGTGTCCAATTACTCTCTCGTAGCAAGGGGCTGGCTATGGCGTACTCCATGGGCATGGACACCTTTGTCCTGTGGTCTGGGTATGCAGGACCAAAGGACATAGGTAGACAGACCCTCAGTGGGCCCTGCATGAGTGGTGAAGGTCAGTACTGAGCAGTGGACCAGCTGTGGTGGTACATGCTGCTAAGATGCTTTGCTCACAGGCTGGGGTCAGGTGCAGGGGTGTAAGCCTGTAATCCCAGTGACTCAGGGAAGTCAAGGCAGGAGAATCATGATAGTCAGAAGGCTAAGGCAAGATGATCACACGTGGCAAGACCCTGTCTTATAAAAGAAAAAGAAAAGAAAATGCTGAGTAGTGTGTTCTAAACAAGGTCATAGAAATTCAGGGGCTATTTAGAGACCAAGAGCAAGATCCCAGACCAGGGCTTGAGAACCCAGGAAAGCAGGTGCTGGGAGGAGCACAGGAAGTCGAGTGGGAGCACTCCTGAGGGTAAATATAGAGTGGGGTGGGAGCTCTGAGCCCCCAGAGCATGTGGGGCTCAGTGAAAATGGATGGTGACTCCTTCTCTGCCTTTCTATCTGTGACCTGTGACATGTTATAAACCATAAAGATCTGTCCCAATGAGAATACAACTAATATGCCAGTGCTTACTTTATGCCTGACTTTCTGAATGCTTGGCGTGTCTTAGCCATTTCGTCCTCACTGCTATACATGATAGGTACCCTTACCTGAGATGATAAATGAGGAATCTGAGGCACAGGTAAGTGAAGAATCATGGCCAAGGTGCTCATGTTGGTTACTACTCATCAAATATTTCAAATTCTCCAGGCCAGTCAGTGAATTGGTGGTTAAGGTAGCTGTACCCACATGGCCAACCAAGTGGTTCAAGTCCCAGACCCAATGGCCTGAAAAACACACTGGGTGCAAGTGTCTGTGTACCCAAAATCCCAAGAGGAGAATGGAGGAGGGGGGATTGTGGCACAGCAGTCCCTCCTTGTGAGGAGTGATTTTTTTACTTGCCTTTTCTATCTCTCTCCAATAAGCACATGCTCCTTATAGCAAAACTAAAAGAAAAATAACAAAAAAATGTCCAATCTTCTTGCATAGTTGAAATTGTTGGGTATGTTGAAAGTGGCCACTTGGAAGAAGGTCAGGGGTGGGCCCAAGGTTTGGGACTATGGGGCACACCCTCCTGGCCCCCAGAAGTCTGGGCTGCAGCCTGTTGCTGACCCCACACCATGCCTGCCAGAAGCCATTGTCACTTCCCACTGCCAAGGTTCTAACCCATTGGTGGTACAGGACTGAGCTTCATTTCTCCCCTTTCTTCCTTCAAATCAAGAGGCAGAGGGAGGTCTGGAGGTGTGGTAGGGAGGCTGCCTGGGTATGAACCTGGTAAGAAATAGCTGTGATTCCCAGGCTTGGGCTGAGTACAAAGAAGGCTTGTGGGCTGGAGTCTATAGGGAGATGAATGGGCATACAAGGGCAAGGAGGTGAGTGGGCAGACCTCGCCAGGGTCAGTGGGTTCATACCTGAGACTGAGACTGTCTGCAGAGTCTAGGGAAGTCATGTCAAGCTGCTCTCTGGGCTGCGGGCTCAGCTTGCTCCTGCAGATTGTGGATGGAACAGTACAGGAGTCAGTGATGGTGGGACCCAGGCTGGTAGCTTTTCAGAGGATGTGGTACCTCACTTGGAATGGTAAGAATGTGTAGGCACCCACTCCATGTCAGGAAGAAGGGCATTCCAGGGGAAGGGAATAACACAGGCAAAAATTGTAGGACATCAGCACTCGGGCTTTGTCAGGGACGTGCAGATAGCCAGGTATGAAAGATCCCGAGGGCACAGTGGGGAGGAGCCAGAGGAGACTGAAGGGAAACTGGGTCAGATGGATTCAGTCCTGTGCTATGGGAGCCCTCAGGATGTATTTAGGTCTGGGCTTTTGAAAGCCCCTTTTGGAGCTGAATTAGAAGGGAAGATTCTTGAAAAGGAGAGGATCAGGATGAAGGGCTAGCAGGAAGCTGAAATGCAGTTTGAAAGTTTAGTCCCGCCCCACCATGACATGGGCCCTCCTGGCCCTGTCCCAGCCACCAGGAAATCCTCTCTTCTAGGGTAGGTCTGAGGCCAGCCCCAGAGGCACAGCTTTAGTGGTGTGGGCCAGAACTGGTGGCAGATATAGCTTGGAGTTCTCTAAAGGATGACTGTGCTGCTTCAGCTCCCTGGGAGAAGAAAGGTGGGCAGTGGCCTCTAAGCTGTCCTGAAACAGCCCCTGGAGGTCATGAGCCCACTGGTCACCTGAAGTTCTGGGGACCTGGTGTCACCCAGACAGGAGTGTTCCTGAATGGAAGTAAGCATACCACCCCCTTCAGAGACCTCATTCCTCCTGAGCTCTGGAATCAGCATGAGTCTGTGAGCCTTGAGCTCAGTGCCCAGCTTCCTGCAACACCTGTTAATAAACACAGCAGCTGGGCCAGCCTGTTTGTGTGGTGGTTAAGGCAGCTGAAGCCAACATGGCCAACTGTGATTCAAGACACACACCGGGTACATGTGCCCAAAATCCTGAGAGGAGAATGGAGAAAAAGGGATTGCAGCATGGCCACCCGCTCTTGGAGATGATTTCTCTCCCTCCTCCTTTCCCTTTCTCTCTGTCTCTGGAGGGAACATGCATACTATGGCAAAGTGAAATAATTAATTAAATAAATAAAATAAACACATCAGCTCTTTCTACCTCCAAGATGAGAAACAGATGAAGTTACCTGCCTAGACCATATGGCCTGACAGCCGTGAGGCTGCTAAATCCTCAGCCAGGCTGCTCGAGTGCCCCAGACCCGCATGCAGGTACTTCCTCCTCTCCAGCCTGAGTCCTTCCCACATGTGCCCTAAGCTCTTGGCTGGGTGGCTTGGCTCCATCTCCTCTGCAGGTTGACATGCCTTGGTACCCATGGTTGGCTCTCTCCAACCCTCCCATCTTGACTGCTCATCCCTGACTGGGGCAGAGAAGGAAATAACCCCTAATTGGGCACCCTGGAGGTAAAGACACCCCCAAATCCAGCTCCCTCCTTCCCTTTTCTCAGTGCATTGCCTCAAAAAGGCAGGCCCATACGATCCCTGCTTGAACAGACATAGCAACAACGAAGCGGGAAGTGCTGGTGTGGGTGGCTCTGCGGACTGGGCAGTCCTCAGCCACTGTAGCCTATGTCTAATTAAGACTCCCAGAGTCCTTCGGCAAGCATATCCTTGATCCTTCTACAAAAGGAAACTGTTTGGAAATAATATCTTTAAATGTCTAATTTGCAGACTCAGAGCAACCACTCTTACTTGATATTTAATAATTAATGTCTGTGATGTTTTTGCTTAGTGCAAAATGATCAATATTTATCAAGCGACCTGAAATCTGTTCTCAAGCCCTCATTGGTGAGAAGTTGCTGTTGACAAGGCCTGAGGAAGCCAGGAGCCTCTTAAATGATTAAAGTCTTGTGCTTTGGCTAATTTTCTTGCAACAGGTTTTAATCTTTGCAAATGACACAGGGATCCCATCAACCAGAATGTTCTGGTGCAGAAGATGAGCTGAAAGAAGCTTTTCCTGGGTGCATTTCAAATCTCCTCTCTGGTTTCATACTCTGCATTATTTACTCTCCCGAGGACCACATTTAAGCTCCACAGACACTCAGGCTGAATTAATTCCAAAATAATCTAGTGTGATTCTCCTAGATTCTCCTACAAAGGAGATAGGCATTTGCATATCTTAGTGTTCCATCTCATACCCTGATTTTCTGTTTAACAAATAAAATTCCTTTTCCCTAACCCTGCAAGCTCTTCTGAATTTCCAGTGCTTCAGGCTGAACCAGGACAGTGTTAGATACTGATATGAAGAAACTAGATCTGATGAAAGCATCTCTGGGCAACGCTGATGTACAAGGCTCTGATGAGCAATTCTGATGATGAGCACTCTTTCCTTCAGTCGTTCATCAAACATTTATTGAGCATGGGGGTTGGGTGGGAGGGACGCAGATATGAATCAGACACAGCCTCTGCCCTCGAGGAGCTCCTGGGCATGTAAACACACAACAAAACCGGAGGATGAGAGCAGAAACAGAGGTGTGTAGTGTTCTCGATGCCCCAGGTGACCTGCTGTGTGCAGATCTCAGGGAAGGTTCACATGCAAGGCTCATTTGATCTGGATCTTGAAATTTGTAGAGATAGTTTCCAGCGTAGAAAAGGGAGAAGAACACCCCAAGTAGAGGCTGCCCGGGCAAAGGTGTGAAACAGTAGAGCATACCTTAGAAATATGAATCCATGGTTTTGTGTGAGTAGAATTTAGAGTTTGAGATTGTACCTGAGGAAGAGAAGACTTAAGAGTTAGGTGGGGCCTTAAGATAGTGACTGTTGAAAGCCATGTCAAGAAGTCCAGACCTCACCTTAAAAGCAAAGGGAGGAACTAGAGGAAGTTCTTAAGCTGTAGATTTCAAGGGTGGAATCTGAAAATATTCCTGGCAGCAGAGTACAAGGTGGATCAGAAGGGAAACAAGGAGACACTGAGACAAGTTAGTAGCAGGCTATTCCATTCTCCTGGGAAAGAGGGGAGCAGTTGATTACCACCAGGGCATGAGACAGGTAGTGGTGGGGAGGACTTTGAGAAACATTATAACATTCTTTTGGGTTTGATGATAGATTCAATGATGGCAGTCGTTGAGGGTAGGGGGCAGTTACTCTAAGAACATCCCTGGCTCTGATTCAAGAACAGATGATGGGCAGCCAGTCTTCCCTCGAGCAACACATCCATCTCTAAACAACCCATATTTTCCACATCTGCTCATGCTGAAACCATATTGATATTAGAAATGGTAGTTGTTGTCTCTGATGATTTTTCCAGTTTGTGACTCTTCCGTGATTAAAGAATTCTCAAAACTGACAACCTCCTTGGGTTATAAATCCACATACATTAAGTACATGCCTTTCAGTCTTGTGAAAGTGCCTTTCATACTGAGATTTGGGGGTTCCTGGATTGAGCCATGCAGAGTTAGTGGACCAGTGGAAGGAGAGGGAATAAGCAGAGATAAATCATCACAGAGAAAAACCTGGTGGCGGGATGCCTGTCCAACAAGGCAATGGACTGCCTCTCAGCAGTGATGAGACCACTCTCCACCAACGCCATCATTATTTTGAACAATTGAGCAAATGTTGGTGCCATCTCTTCAAAGATGCTATTAAAGGAACCCTTGCCCCAGGGAGGTTGTTGTTATGATATGTGTCCTTCAAGCTCCAGCTTCCTTAACCCTTAAATATGTTTGATGCATGGTTGAAGGAATGGTACTGTTTAAGACCAGAAAGCCCAGAAGGCCTGCATCCCACCTGCACAGACAGGCAGGATGCCTTGCAAAAGAGCAAGCAGGCTCGTTCTATGTAGCAGCAGGGGCTAGGCAGGGGTCAAGCGCAATTCATAGAGCTGTTCTGTCATAGTTGGAGTGGTCCACGAGGTTGGTGGCTCAGGAAGGGGGTGGGCCCAGGGAGCCCTCAGCAGACCTCAGAGGCTTTACATCTCTGCATGGAGTTGGGCTGGCTGGTTTTAAGGATTTGCCAGTCCCAAAACTAATTCTGAGCTCCCAAAGTTAAATGTCAAACCCCAAGAAGGGTTTGTTTTTGTTTTTGTTTTTGTTTTTGTTTTTTGCCACTGAGCCAGCCTGAATACAAAGCACCATGAATTTTAGAATTAGCTTAATTTCCTGGATGAGGTTCTTGATCACATTTTATAGAGTTGTTCGCCTGTTATTTCCCACCCCCACCTTCCATTCCTCTCTCTTCAAGGGCAGGACTGGTCTCACTCTTCCGGTATTTTAAGCACCTAATGGAAAGCCTGAGACAAAGGAGGCACCCAGCATGCTATTGATCAAATAAAGGAGTTCTTATTTTAAAAACTCATAAATCTCGGGACCAGCAGTTAGCGTAATGGCTATGTCACTGAACTCCCATGATGGGCAGCCAGTCTTCCCTCGAGCAACACATCCATCTCTAAACAACCCATATTTTCCACACCTGCTCATGCTGAAACCATATTGATATTAGAAATGGTAGTTGTTGTCTCTGATGATTTTTCCAGTTTGTGACTCTTCCGTGATTAAAGAATTCTCAAAACTGACAACCTCCTTGGGTTATAAATCCACATACATTAAGTACATGCCTTTCAGTCTTGTGAAAGTGCCTTTCATACTGAGATTTGGGGGTTCCTGGATTGAGCCATGCAGAGTTAGTGGACCAGTGGAAGGAGAGGGAATAAGCAGAGATAAATCATCACAGAGAAAAACCTGGTGGCGGGATGCCTGTCCAACAAGGCAATGGACTGCCTCTCAGCAGTGATGAGACCACTCTCCACCAACGCCATCATTATTTTGAACAATTGAGCAAATGTTGGTGCCATCTCTTCAAAGATGCTATTAAAGGAACCCTTGCCCCAGGGAGGTTGTTGTTATGATATGTGTCCTTCAAGCTCCAGCTTCCTTAACCCTTAAATATGTTTGATGCATGGTTGAAGGAATGGTACTGTTTAAGACCAGAAAGCCCAGAAGGCCTGCATCCCACCTGCACAGACAGGCAGGATGCCTTGCAAAAGAGCAAGCAGGCTCGTTCTATGTAGCAGCAGGGGCTAGGCAGGGGTCAAGCGCAATTCATAGAGCTGTTCTGTCATAGTTGGAGTGGTCCACGAGGTTGGTGGCTCAGGAAGGGGGTGGGCCCAGGGAGCCCTCAGCAGACCTCAGAGGCTTTACATCTCTGCATGGAGTTGGGCTGGCTGGTTTTAAGGATTTGCCAGTCCCAAAACTAATTCTGAGCTCCCAAAGTTAAATGTCAAACCCCAAGAAGGGTTTGTTTTTGTTTTTGTTTTTGTTTTTGTTTTTTGCCACTGAGCCAGCCTGAATACAAAGCACCATGAATTTTAGAATTAGCTTAATTTCCTGGATGAGGTTCTTGATCACATTTTATAGAGTTGTTCGCCTGTTATTTCCCACCCCCACCTTCCATTCCTCTCTCTTCAAGGGCAGGACTGGTCTCACTCTTCCGGTATTTTAAGCACCTAATGGAAAGCCTGAGACAAAGGAGGCACCCAGCATGCTATTGATCAAATAAAGGAGTTCTTATTTTAAAAACTCATAAATCTCGGGACCAGCAGTTAGCGTAATGGCTATGTCACTGAACTCCCATGTAGCCAACCGCGGTTCGAGGCCCGGACCCGGTGGCTTAAACTCATACCAGGCGTGTGTGC